AATTTATTTACAGGCATCGAGTAATATAATATCCGAATCACCAATGTTTGATACAAAATTAATTGGTCAAAATTTGGTTTTAATGCTTGTCGGTGATAAAAAATCAATTGATGAGCGCGATAAATCGACTCGTCTCATCAACTATTGACGTTAAAAAGTACTGGCAGGTAATTTTTTATTTACATTTATATTATATTTATTAATTATCATATATTCTACTAATCGTATAATTTTTTTAAAAAAAAAATTTAAAGAATATGGGATTCGTTAAAGCCGCATCTCTCGACTTTGTAGAAATCCAACTTCACAGTACTAAAGCAGATATTTATACGAAATTTGAGGTATATAATATTGTAAAGTTAGATAGTATTTCCCAACGAGTTTATTAATACCTTATTATTTTGTATCTTGATATTACTAATGAAAATCTTATGATCGAAATATGTGCCAAACATTATTGAATATGGTTAATCATTTAAACCCAAAAGCAGAAGATCCGGAAAAGGGGTATGCAAATCCTTCTTTAAAATTATATAAATCTTTTTGATTAAAATTTTTTATTTAGACGTATAACAACTGATCCTGTTGTCCAGAATATGTTAGGTTCGTCTTATTTTTTATGTTTCAAAAATTTTATTTAATAATTCAATATTTACCAAATTTTTATATTGAAACTTGATATAGCGAACTTGGATGAGTATGCCTTTGATTCAAAATCAAAATCTCGTGCCACACCCGCAATAATCGACGACAATAAGATATCAAAAATCTCAAGTCGGAATTTAGTTTCCACTTTAGAGAATATTATGCGATAGAAGGAAATGAATCAGAGTTGGATACTCACACTTTTAAACATCCCGTGGGGTATGATGACAATGATACAAAGGTGTTTTGGTTGAACAGCCACTATTTGCTGCTTTCTCGACAAATGAAAGTAATGAGGATTAACCGAATTAGAAAATTCGGAAGAAGAAGAAGATAATCGAGGGATGATAAAGTTAAAAGGTTGGATTCTCCTACTATAGAATTTGTGGATGATCATTTTTCTATACCTAATGCAAACGAACCTGAGAATTCCTATATTCAAAAGTAAGTTTGTTTTGCGGAATAACTACCCTTCAATCATTTTTATTTATAAAACTTATATATCTTAGGTTACCAAAAAGTTTGACCCGGATAGACTGAGAGATTTTAATCTCGTATGCAAGTTACATGATGGTTATGATTGGGAACGTAGTAAAAAAGGAAGCGCTGGATTCTTTGGCACGCGCAAATTCTCAAGCCAAGAATGTAAATGTTGTGGAGACAGGAACAGCGTCTGGTTCTTCGATTGGAGAAACAAGTAGTTCTCCTTCATTAGAAGAGAATAATATATATATAGTCATATTTACAACGCTCAGTATAGAAATTCAGATTATGACGTAACATCTGAGTCGATTACATTGACGATTATAGTGATACTGCTAGTCAAGTTAACTCACGATTGGATCCTGACAATACGAATTTTCGAGAGGGTAAACGGTCCGAGCATTCAAATCGTCGATCTCGGCCAAAGTTAAGTCGCTCAAGCTCTAGCAAAATTGACATAAAACTTGAAAAAGTGAATTTGGAATTCGATATTTTTCCCGATGACAATTTATTAGCTTTTAGGCTGTTACTTCTTGTCCGAGATATAGAAATTCTAGACGAAATAAAGAGTTCTGTGTTGAATAAGTTTTTATCGCATATGCGCCCGGAATGACCTTAAGTAATGTTTAGTTGACAGGGGAGAGTTCAAATAATCAAATCATTCGATTTTTTTTACCGAGTTTCTTGATCACAATGAATAATTTATTTTAATGATCAAGGATGTCAACGTCTATTTTAGGAATTGGGTGCAGCATGGTTACCACATATAAAGAGCACTCAAGTGCCCAACGTAGTATCTGGTGTGGCTCCAATACGTTCGTTAGTTAATTTAGGTTCGGACGTTGCTGATCTTATTCTCTTACCAATTGAACAATATAAGAAAGATGGTAGGATTATTAGAGGTTTACAAAAAGGGACAGAGTCGTTTGCACGAGCCACAACTATGGAAACAATCAGATTTGGTACCAAACTTGCGGTTGGAACGCAGATTTTGCTTGAACAAGCAGATGAAATTCTTTTCTTTCGAATCTCAAAATGACACCAACACAAAGAGTAGTACTAATCCTACAGCAAGTACCATAGATGAGGAGCTTGATAGCGAAGAAGACAATATTAAGGAATTAATAAGCAAATACGTTGATCGGCCAGCAGATTTGAATGAAGGTAATTTTATTGATATTTTATAGTTTATCAAAACATTTCTGATAATTTTTATTTAGGCATTGAAGCAGCTTATAAGAGTTTACGATACTACAGCTCATACAATATTTGCTGTACCTATGGAGGGAGGCATATGAAAAGACTGGAACCCAAGGAACGGTCAAGGCTGTGATACGAGCAGTTCCTGTTGCTGTTTTAAAACCTATGATTGGAACTTCTGAGGCTGTATCGAAGACTTTACTTGGTTTACGAAATACAATTGATCCCAATAAGAAATTAGAAATGGAAGATGTATGTATTATTTATTCATAAATTTTCTTATTAATTTTATGGAATTTAAAGTTTAAAATAATTGAATATTTTTATTACAGAAATATAAGAAACGATAATTTAGATTTGAAAATCATAAAAGAATTTTAATTGGCTTGCCTTTTTAGATTATTATTTTTATATGAAGTGGTTTGAGTATAATAATATACCTAATAAGAGATTTTTTTTGATAGTAACGAACATTCACTCACTTTACACATTTACATATATATATATTTTTAAACTTTCATTTTTTTTTAATTATGTAATTTTATGTATTAATATTTCTTGATGTTTTTATAAATATAAATAAATATTTTATTTTAAAAATACAGCAGATTGAGTTGATAATTAGTATTGGGTGATATAACGCGTCTCACTATAATAGATGTAAACATTAAAAGGATATTTCTAACAGGGCCTGAAATTGGCAAGTCTATATAATTGATCTTGAATAGTAATACTTGAAAAGAAATAAATACAAGAATCACTGCTCTAAGCTGATAGATCATTGCTTCGGATTAGTAGGTTAAAATGTTGAATTTCGTAATTATAAGGATTGCTCCAATAAAATGTCATACAAATATGTAAAACGTCATGCGCGGTCCTAGCATCGCCTGGAAAATGGTAATTAGATTTTTTTTTGGTTATTCTATGGCATTTCGCAGGTTGGTATTCAAAGTAGAAGGCATACACCTTGTACATTAGGAAATTCATGCATTCAAAGGATAGCTTGATAACAACATCAATAATATTTGGAGAATGATAACAATGATATCAATAATTTGTCCTTTCCTAATACATCACTAGGTGACGGTGATGATGGTAATATATGCATCACTTTATCCATAAGACTTGAACGATCTTACCGTTATCCTATAAAAAGCAAGTTCATTTGAGAATCATTTCATGGTAAGAATAATCAGACAAAAATTAAACTAGATGACGGATGCAGGAAAGTTCCAGTAGTAAACTTTAGTTAAGGCAAAGATTGATATCGAGTACCGGTAAAGTTATAAGTTTAGTTAAGAGTAAAGAAGGTACATGGTCGATCCTCATTTCAGAGTCAACGGACCTTTATCGAAAAACTGTAACTGGAAAATTCCATAAGGCCTACCAAACCAGGTTGATAGACGCAACCCCCATCCGTCTAAATTTTTCATCCCACTATACTTACTTTTTTTATCGTTTAGGAGTTCCCGAGCAACACAACGAGTGTTGTGATGTGTTTTCTTTTTCTCTATCAAAAACTGTTGAAACAAAAATGCTGGAGTGACCACTCTTTACAGGGAAAGAACTTGATGTATTTTTTTCGTATGGAATGTTTTCAACTTCTTGTTGATAAGCAATAGATGTAGAAATGATAAAAAAAAAAAAGATGTATTAGAAAATACGATATTAAAAAAAAAAAATTTATAACACCAAAGAAACATAAACTTTTGATGCGATTGGTGTATTACTAATATATTGATCGACAATGTGAAATTGTTCCATTTTTAGAGTAATAGTTTAGGGAATTAACCCGATATAGTAACTACCCAGTGTAATCCGTCAAAAGAGATCTCAGTCATGTGACTTCTGTGATTAAGATGTGGCTTGCTCATTTCAGCCAAAATTATTATGATTTCGTGCTTAAAGTTATTAAAATTGATGGCAATACAGTTAATATAACAAATATTATCGTTATGGAGAATTACTGTAAATAGCGAGTATTGTTTCATGTCAAAGAATTTTTTTACAGATTGATAATAGAACTAAATATGTAAATTGCCAATTTAAAATGTTACGCTACATACCTTAATAAAATTATAGTTAAAATATTGTATTACTAAAATTTACCCATATGGCGTATAATGCAAAAAAAAAATTTATTATAAATAATTATATACAATTTTGATATATTATAGAGATTTTGAACAAAATTATGAGAACTTCGGCTAGCATTATGTAATTTTGGGATTGTTACACAGTGAATTTCGCTTCGGAATCATAACGGTTTCCGTTCCCTAGTTTAAAATTTTTCTCTGTGCAAAGGAAAGTAAGTGTATTAAAACTTATTCAGAACATTTTTTAGTTGATGGCGCAGAATAGTTAAATAGTTATTCAGACCAGGTCCGCAGTTATGAATTTGAATTTCACAAGTTCCTTTCGAGTTAACTTATAAATCTCGTCGTTATTTCCTACAATGACCAACATCGTCAGCATTATTGAAGGGTCATTTCATTGGGTCAGCAAATCGCTGAGCGACTAGAAAGCGCATAAGCCTCCGAGAGTCTCGAGAACATTTTAAGAATGCTCAAAAATATGTTTGCCGACATTGATTATTCCCATGTTAATAAATCCTATATTGTTAGTATCAAAGACACCCTTGAACGAACCCAGTAGGTTTACATGAAGTGTGCCGAGGACCTTAACATAAAAGACAAAAAGTCTATCTCTGGCAAGCTCAAGAAAGTCGCTGGAACATATAAAGCCCCCAGTATTCTAGCCGACATTCAAAGTCCATTGTAGACGTTGAAAGACATCTTAACATCACAGATTAAGCTTAAGTATTATGCAATGTGTTCAGACTTTATCCACCTTGATACTTCGAATTGGCCGAAAAGTGGGACAAAAATCTATATCCCGTGATTATAAATAAAACATATAACAATTTGTCGCGGGCGCGATAAATAAATTTGGTAGAAAATGAAAATATGAAAATTTTAATAATGTATTAAATATTTTGCGAAATTTGCACTAGTCGAGATTTTCAATTTCGGTCATTCGGTATCGTGATTATGAGTTTCGGCCAGAATTTATTAATACATATAAAAAATCTTACACGGAGATCAATTATAAAAAAATTATGGTAATAAACCTACTTATAAATAATATAGGATAATTATATATATTTTTTTTAAATATGGCTGAACAAATAATTGGTAATACCAAAAGATCAAAAATCATAACAAATAACATTAACATTAAATTATTTGATTTCTTAATGTTTAATAAATTAATACTTATCAATATAGTTTTCCAATTAATTATGATCATTGCATTTAATTTCAAAATCAGCTATCTCATTTATTTATTCGAAAAGAATTTCTATATAAAAGGAGAAAAAAAAAAAAAAACATCGTGAACGATAAATTCCCCTACTATATTGAATATCATGACATTCATGACCTTCCACACTGTATACTTGCTTCACAACGTAAATTAAATCCAGCCGAGCCTATTAAAAAATTGCCAAAGTTTAGAAGCCTTATTTACATCAAAGTTTACTAAATGTTGAGCGTCTACTTTCTTGAAAATTTTATTATTACTCTGGAACTCTTCTGCAGCGTTAAGTATTGCCAACTTTCCTCTCAAATACTGCAATGGTGGCATTCGCAACGTTGAACAAACTTTACGCTCCTCATCATGAAGCAAGTTATATCCCTCCAAATCTTTAATATAGAGTGGTTTAGATCCATTATGCCATGTTATACGACATTTAGTGAAATTCAATGAATTATGATTAATGTTTAATAAAATTATCTTGTAGATCAATTCATTTAAACTTAAAACGAATGGATTCTCCTTTGGTTTTTGTTCAACTTCTTTACTTTCTTTTAAGGTCTTTAACAATAGATTCGGATTTTTGCGATATATTTCGTAAATATTAACTCTCAACACGTAATCATCATCATCCGACGAAGAATCTGGTGACCTTCGCGGATACATTTGTTTTCTGAATGAATACCGTTTAGATTTTTTAACGTTTGATCTACGTAAATGAGATTCTGTTGTACCGTCAACTATTATTTGAAAATTTTAAATTAATGTTAATTTGTGTATCACGAAAGTAATTGCATATTTGTTGGTGTGTATAATTCTTGAGTATTCATAGGAAAAGTTAACCGTACTTGAAGAACTGTTACCGCCATTATTTGTTAAACTATTATCACTGACAATAGCCGCATTTGGGTCGTTGAATAACTGAAGTATTTGTTGAGGGGCTTCGGATAATTTCCACCGGACTTTGTTAGTTTTAGTCTTGTTGTTAAGAGGAGTTATAACGTTACTATTATTCTCAGTAACAAAAGACTCTATTGTACTGTACTTAAAATTGTTTACAAAAGGAGTTTTCGTGTTGCTCTTAATATCGTTAACAAAAGAAACCATTGTGTTGCTCTAGGTGCTGCTGTTAAATGGACAAAAATTTATATTATTTCTAGGTTTAGTAACCAAGGGAGTTGGTGCGTTGAAATTATTTTTGTTAAAAACGAAAGTCATTGGTGAAAGTAAACACCCGAGCTGGTAAACCTGGTTTAATCAGGACAACACTTTTTATATCGGAAAATTTTCCGATTGGATCGACTCTTCCGGTTTTATCTATACACCACGTCACTACTATATCCAAAGTTTTTTTACTTTAAGTATTCAACATTAATAACCGTGACCGATATAAGTCAGTCAAAGGCTTCTGACCGATCGGTTGACTGACCGATTTTGACCGATTTTAACCGAACTAATAATTCTTCATATATAAATAACAATTATTTCAGTAATATTTTTAATATATAATTAAAAAAAGTTTAAGTCTAAGTTCATAAATTTTACCATCCCTGACCTATAAATATTTTATTTATACATATTACTATACTATACTAAAATTTAAATTAATTATTTTGTATACTAATTGTACTAATTTCCCAACCCTAGTTATAGGTTTATTTTTTTATATTTAAATCAAAAAAATATGTCTAAAATCCAAACATTACTTTAAAATTTATATATTTATATTATATATAAAAGATAAAATTTAAATTTGATATAATAAATTTTATTTAAAATTTTATTAATTATATAGAAAATAATTAAAATATGGTATTAAAAAGTTTATAAGTTTATAAGTGATTTTATTTTAATTTTTTTAATATTAATCCTATATCACATAATCTAAAATTAGTTAATAAAAATTAAAATTTCTATTAAAATTTTATATAACTAAAAGTATTAAATTAATAAGATATATAAATTCCTTAATATTATAAATTTAAATAAGTTGTAAAAGTTGTAAAAACTAATTATATTTATTAATTACATTCTTTATTGCAATTATATACAGTCAACCCTCTCTAAATGCACCCTCTCTAAATACACACTATATATTTTCTCTCTAAATGCACGTTCTCGT